CCAAGGCCCTCCATGCCCTGCTATGAGCAGTGACTAAGTCTCGTGACATACTTGGGCACTCATTGTGTGCTACTCTCACTTTACAAAGGGAGACACTGAGGCACAAAAATTTGTGGCCTGGTTTTCAGAGGAACTGTCTGATATCTACTGCCAGTGAATTAAGGGAGAACTGTAGGTGCTCTGCACCAATGTAAACAAGGCTGTAAGTTGCTTCCCCTGTGGCCCGTGTGAGCTTAGGTATGTCTGTGTTTTGAGCTGGGGATATGTTTTCCACTTCAAGGAGAAATACCCGTGCTAGCTCTGATTGAACTAATGTGTGCTAGCTGCCATGAGTAATAGAACTTGGCATCACTTTGAAGCTTTTAACTGTCTAGCAAGAGGAGAAATTAGAGACTGGAATTGTGGTGCGCTTGTTTGCTAAAGCAAAGAGGAACAAGAATATAACTGATTAAGAGAAGGAGAACGTGCTTATTGGGATGGGAGGAGGGCAAGTAGTTAGTGTATTAATTTGGGATGGGGCACCCAGGTTCAATTCCCTCTGTGCCCAATTTGGAGTAGGGACTTGAACCCAGTCAGCCTCTTCCTAGGTAAGGTCCTAGCCAATAGTCTGTTGTTTTTGCTCATTTTTTTTACATGAAAAATTTCAAAATTCTCAGTTTTGCCTTGATGTAGAAGGAGAACTGCTTAAGACCTCAAACTTTTGAGAAAAGAAAACCATTTCTTGTTCATCTTTGAATAGGAACATTACCTGGCCCTACTGGATTTCATGCTAGAGCTATTTATTGGGAAAAGCTCCATTATCAGTTCCTATAGAGGCATATCCATTTCCTTGCAGGATTTTTATTTTGCTTTGTATTTGTAAATTAATGGTTTGAAGGAGAAGCAGGATCTTAACTTCAGTGTTGTGTCATGCTCAAGAGTCTTGGTTTCTATCTTTGAAGATTTCTGCCCATTGATCTGAATATTTCAGAGAAGGGCTGATCTGTTAGGGCTGCTTGAAATTATTCACTGTGAACCACTCATCTGATGAATTCAACCTTGCTTATGCAGGAAAACTGTCTACAAACGGGTCATTATGACTGTCATGAATTGTTTTCATTATTCATTATTATTTGGCAAATGGACACATTTTACTCTGTGGGTTGATGATTGTGAGTTGGTCTCTGTGAGAATTAGCTATTTGGGCTCTATGGATGATTGGTTAAATCGTCTAGCTTCTGTGCAGTATTGTTTCTGGATGTATTAGCTGATGGGAAGAAGGATGGTCTAGGAATAATGCACTAGATAGAACCGGGGTTTAATTCTTGGCTGAGTCACATATTCCATGAGTGATAATCTTGAGTAAATAACTTTATCTACCCTGTGCCTCAATACCCCTTTATAAAATTAGGATAGTATTTCCCTACCACAGAGGGGTGTTGAAAAGATACATTCCATTAAGGGTTGCATGGTTCTCTGAATTGTGTAGACAGGTGTTGCCCGTAGCTCTATAAATGGAAGGAGTTTATTCTTCTATTTGCATATTGTCTGCAAAGATTCATTGACTGACAACTCTTTCTTATCTAAATAATAAGAGCTTTTCACAATGGTTGTGAGGATATTTCTGATGGGAACAATCGCAAAAAGATGTCTTTATGCTAGCAGATTTTTCAAATAAGGGTCTGTTGTAACAGTTAGGTCTACAAATTTACCCTAATGGTAAGCTCAACTGTAGAAAGTATGTACAAGTTATTAAAATGTCACAGTAACCTATAACAGCAATGGTTGATGGAGAAAAGGTAAGACGGAGACAAATGCCAAATTAATTTAAACAAAAAGGCTTGCTGGTATGATTTTAACATACGTCTTGAATTATGTTTGGTAAACAACAAAGCGGTGGATCTGCAAATTGAGGAACCAAAAATGGTGCATCAGCTATTAGGCCTTATTGGTTGGTAAAATGAAAGATCTGCCACTCCACCCATTGTTCCCTTTGTGGGTGCTTAGAGAAAGGGACTTTCAGTAGAAAAATCCGAAGAACAGACAGATGCTACTTTCATCATCATGGCTGCACTCCATACAGTCTGCTGGGACCTACCACCTTTTTGGTGAGGACCTCCCTCAGGTTTAGGAAAAGCTCATGACAGAGAGAGGGATCCAGATTACGTCACCTCCTCTACCAACTCCAGCTAAGTTTTAAACACCACAGGATTGGACTTCAAACACAACAGTTCAAGTTCATTTGACCTAACTCATCTTTCCCAAAGGACAGCTATTACCATCCTGGATGCCACCTAAGAGACTGTCAGACAAGTTTGGTTTTTCTAATACTTTCTCCCACTAATGGGAAAGTGAACAGGGGATGTTGTTAAAAGGAACAATGTTTTGAATACTTTACATTTCAAGTACTTTAACTTTTCCCCCTTATTTTCTGTATCTGTAATAAAAGGTTAAAAGGGTTTTGAATGGTACATCTTTAAGGGTACTAAGGAGGTTGAGGTCCCTGTGTACCAAAGCCCTGATCTTGTTTAACACTGTTTCATGTTGGACAGCGACTGGGTTATGTTAACTTTTTTTTGGCCGCATATATTCTATCTAAATGAATGCAGCAGTACCTCAATCCCCACTGAGGCACCTGAATGAGAGTGACCTGCAGCTTCCGTGGAAGTTCATGGAGTTATACTGGAGATTAATCTTTTCCATTATGTTCAACTCTCTGCATGGGAGCTCCAGTTTCATTGGTCCATTTGACTAGGCACTCATATCACAAGCAGTATTTAATACCATAGCCCTTAAAGCGTATAGAATTATTTTGAATACCTGAAAGTGCCTTTCACAATTCTGTCTATAAATATGAATAAATAATGACATTTCTAGCTATCTTGTCTGTCTTGGGTGTGAGCAAATTAAAGAGCATTCCTGTCTTAACTGCTAATATATCAATCTAGAGTAACTGATGGCAAACATAAAGAAGTGACAGGCTTACAGGGGAGGAAGAAAGCAACTGAATAAGATCTCATTACCTTGTCATTAGCATCACCAACTCCCCTTGTCTGGGAGGTTGGGTTGTTTGCCAGAGCTACTCAGTAAAAAAGGGCCCTTAAATAGCAATCGTCTCTTCTAAAGAGTTTGGACTGAAACATGCTGTAGTGATAGAACACTAACAAGAGAATGTTACATTAAGATGAACTTGGTGTTGTCCCCAGAGCGGGAGACTGACAGGATCAAATGCTCCCTTTGGCTTCCCTTACTCCCCACAAGAGCAGGAATATTGGCCACCAGCAGGGTTGCCCTCTGAGTTCAATTTAGCGAGTCTTAACTAGACTTGCTAAATCAAACTCTGGACAATCAATCACTCCGTAGAAGATTGATGCTGCTGTGAAGACAAGGCCTGAGAGTTTATAGAATAGTGGTAGAGATGTACCCGTGTTAGTCTGGGGTAGCTGAAGCAAAATTCAGGACAATGTAGCACTTTAAAGACTAACAAGATGGTTTATTAGATGATGAGCTTTCGTGGGCCAGACCCACTTCCAGGTTTTTCTCTGATGTGTAGCGAAAGAAGGAGTTCAGCAACAAACCTTTCTGGTGACACAATCCACAGTCCAACATCCTCCCTGTTAAAATGACCCCTCAAAAAAACTCTTACACAGAAGCCTAAGAACTGAATGTAATTAATAAGCCCAGGTTAGGTTAGTGACAGATTGAGAGCAAGGGATAAGAAGGTGTGATGCATTGAGCTATGTAGCTGTTGTGATTGTATTTTCTGTGTAATTCACCTTTAAAGTTCTAGAAGTTGACTGTCACCAGGAGTAGTTACCATTCTGCATACACATGCAGTATGTTACTGAGGGAGAGAACTGTGCTCTTTCCAGGAGCCCTTTGGTTTTCAATTAAGAGGAAACCAACAGAACAAAAATGTGTAAAATGATTTTCAAATTGGTATGTTTTTTCATATACAATTTGCATTGTCTAATCATGTAGGCCCAGGGCCTCAGAAGTGCTGAGATCCCCTGGGTGGCTCAGTATCATTCTGATTCAGGCTGTTCGAGTTCAGAACAAGCTGTTTGGTTGATGAGACCTGCCAGTCTCTGTAAATCTTTCAGTGACCTGCTGCACTCCTC